CGTCACGCGTCAGGCGTGATCGACTCGTTCGTTGATGTACATCACTCGACTGTTGTCGTTCCACGCCTCGATCACAGTTGGATCACCGCGTGTAAAAGGGAATTACGATTGTCGGATATGCCCGTCCAATCAACGTTGAGAGAGAGAGAGAAAGAGAGGAAGGATCGTTGCCTAGGATTTTATCTGTCGTCGTTGTTGTATGTAAGGAGAGATTAAATATTTTTCGAAGTTTTGTTAGATTTCTTTTTTTTCTTAACTATCGTCGATTCATTTGTGATGAATTCGTTGTGATCTAGAAAAGAAAAACTGTTTAAAGTATGTGTTATACGTATGTTTTTTTATTTTTTAATTGTATGAATTGAGTAATTGTTGTAGAAGAGAAAATTAAAAGTAGACGTAAAGTTTGAATTATAAAAGTAATTGAAAAAAATAGTGTATAAATGTTATGAAAGATGAAACTAAGTGAAATTGAAAATATTATCATAACGTTAAAGAGGAATTTTTAAGGAAGAAAATTTAAATTGGATGGTTTTTAATTATTGTTCGAGATGTAAATACAATGGAAAATATTATTATTCTAAATATCTACGTGGAAGTGAATGTTGAATTTTTGAGTTATCACGATGTTGAAAGGGATGATGGACAAAAATTGCACGATTCGATGTGGTTTCAAGGAATATTACATTGCATCTCGTAATGATTTGAACTTCTTACGTATATTTTACAACCTTCTATCACGGATAAAGCTCACAGCGTATGATCTCTTTCTATTATGTGATTTTTTTTTATGTGTTTCGAATCTTATTTAGAATCATATTTCTAAATGCTTGATTTCAAAATAATATCATTAATCCATATAATATTCTTTTCACTGTTGTATTATAACATCATCCATCATATCCATACTCCATGAATCAAATTTTATCTAAAAATCGAATCTTATATCAGTCTCATATCTTTCAAATATTAATATCTTGCCCAAAAAATTTTTTTTCCAAAATATTTTCCAAGTATGAATTTTTTAAAAGTGAAACGTGACAAGAAACGAAACGAAATCTTTAAATTTATTGAAACAGAATATAAAACAAAGAGAAAAAATTTATTCGTTTTCAAGTTTACGTTTATCAATTTTATTAGATCCCATCGAGTATAAATTAAATAAATAAATAAAAAAAAATAGTTTAAATAAATTAAAGCTTACACAAATTGTTAAGCTTGTTCAATAACTTATTAAATAACGAAGACTGTTGAATAGAATTTCCTTTCTAGAACTTCGTAACTTATTTTAAAAGACGTAATTGTTTACACTCACCATTGTATCAAGATTGTACTCCTTAGAATATAAATAGATTCGTGATTCGTGTACATGGAACACCGTGTACAATAGGGACGTCCAATACTATGCACAATCGCGAGTGATTCGCAAACATCCATCGTACTTGGTGGATGGAATAGCCGGCTCCTTGGTGAATAATTCGTCAACCATTTCAACCAATATTATGGCAATATTGGTCGAACCTCAAAATGATCCTTAATATTGCTGTAGGATAATATTGGATAACGTTATGAATTTACGGAGTAAACTTGCAACACGATTGGTATATTTATATAGTTTTAGTTGTAGTTGTTGTGTTATTATTTAAAAAAAATAAATATTCCAATATTCCAAATATTCGATATTGGAATTCGAATATTATTCTGAAAATATTTCTCAATCTTCAGATGAGAAATTCAGAAATTCGATGATCATTTAAGTGATTTTCAAATTAAATGATAAAGCCAATTTATGGAGATCAAAATGGATTTCAAGAGATCTCGATATGATTTATGATTTCTACGTAATCTTCAAGTAATCTCGAATCTTTTTATTGTAATTGATAATCCTCAAGTGACGATGACTTTAACGATTTAAGTTAATATTGTAACTTCGATTAATCTTGTGAATTACAGAATAAAATATTATGAAAACTTTAGAAAGATTAAACTTGTATAATTCCTTATATTATATATATTTCTACTTATTAAGCACTGTAATTTGTGTTGTAAGAGTTGGAATATGCAAATGAAGAAATCGTGAAATTTGCATACATTTTAAAATTCCAGTTAATTTTTATATTATATCGTGCTCGAGGGAATAAAGTTCCTTGACAATTTTTCATTCTTAAACAATGGAAAAAAAAATATAGAAATAAAAATAAAATATATCGTTCAATATCACACGACAAAGATATATTTTATTTAATCTTGCTATACGAACATTTGTTTCTATGGCAACGTATTTTTCTTTAAATGCGCTTTTAACATAAGAAAGCAACACGTGGAAGGAAGCATTTTTCCTTCGTTTACGTTTAAGCTCTGAGGAAACAAAATTTATGAGGATACTCGAGAAGAATAGATAGTATATTATTATCTAAGAATATGTAATGTAACATATATATAAAAAAAAAAAAAAATACTTTGCTGTAAAATAATTTTTACTTTTATTCTGTTTTCTTGTAATGAAATTTATATTTTCTTCTGAACACTAAATATGCTACGTAATACGATATATAAAATGTAATAACTTGTATCACGAGGAACATCGTTTTTTAAAATTAAAATAAACTTAAAAAATAAATGATAAAGGGTTAAAAATAAAAACATAAAAATTCTTATACTTTACTGTTATTATATTTACATTGTAAAATGTAACGTTAGTATTTGTATTTGATTTTTACAAAATTTTTAAATGAAAATTAAGAGAGGTTGATTAACATTTTTAAAAAATAATATAATCCATTTATAAATGTAAAATATAATGATATTAAAATGCCCCATGAAACATTAAAAAAAAAAATTTTAAAAATACATGTACAATTATTATTCCTTTATTCTTAAAAATTCGAAAATTCTTTAAGGGCGCAAAATTAAAAAAATACTTCATTCGATATTTTATCAAAATTTCAATGAAGTTTATATATATATATTTTTCTCTCTCTTAAATCTAGAAAATAGAAATTTAAGAATTAATTGAGAATTACAATGTACAAGTTAATAACAATTTAATCAACAATTTAATCAAATTGAAACCAGAACAACTTCTAGTATCACATATTTCATACAAATGATCATGAATTTATCACCACACATAGCACTGCTAAATGACACGTTTATTTTCCTCATTATATGCAAATAAATTTCATTTCTAGCCATTTAACGTTATTTAATCCTTTCGCATTATGGACTATCTGGTGTCTCATGACGTAATGTCGTTCATACACAAGATATATTTCATTTTTCCTTTAAAATATCTCGTGCATAAATTTCATAATCCTCTTTGTTCTGACGAAAGGTTAACGATAGTAAACGTAGAATATTTTTGTAAACCAACAAAAATTTTTCTTTTTTTTTTTTTTTCGTTCAAATCACATCGAATTCATATTGAAAATTAAACAGGAAGAAAAAAACATCTCGTCAAAAACATCGAACTAGTAAGAAACTACGAGAAATCTATTTGAGAAAATGAGTTCACGTTATGCTAATATTACATTTTCTTAAATATTTTTAATATTTTTTTTGAAACAAAACAGTAAGTTTTATAGACAGATCGAAAATTAAAGATGCAAGATATCTCCTCGTATACATCGCAGCAAGGAAATTGCGATGCGAGATATATAACGAAACTTACATTGCGCAAATAATATTTCTTCTCTTTGATAATTTTTCTTTCGCATGAAATGATGGAGAGTCGAAATTAAAGATGTAAGATATGTCATCGAATCGCGCAAAGAAAATTACATCGC